CACTGGTTTGTCATTGGTGATCATTATGTTGCATTACTTTGTATCTATTTGCACTCATTTGTGGACTCCATATACACCAGCAACAATGGGTTATCCCAGCAGGATAAAAATATTTGAAAAGCATTCTGGAAATTTCTGTTGTCTGCCAGCATGTTCGCAGAATATGGATCCAATTAAGCATTTATGAGATATGTTGGCAAAATCTATTCATATGCAAGATCTTACACTAACAAATATCAGGAAGCTGTGAACAGCTATCAAGACAGCATGTCTCAACATCTCTCCAGAGATCTTCCAGGGACTTGTGAAATTGATGCTACATCAAGTCATTGCACTTCACCTGGATAGACAGGTATTGTCCTACATTATATTGGATACCATTATTTTTTGGATATCAGTCTTGTGAATTTCTGAAGCCAGATGAAACTTATAGTAAAATATTACAGTCTTCTCATTCAAAGTTTTTGTACGACAGTTGAAAAAAATATGACCATTTTACAAGATGGAGAAGGCAGAATTATACTACTGTCTGGAGTGCTTGTTCTCTCTTTGTTTTGTCAGCCCAAATGGAGTTTTGATGAGAAATTCTTCTTCACACATTCACTAGAGTTGGCACTATCAGGACTATTTTGATCAATGAAGCATTTCTTGTAAAAAAGTTAAAGATGCCTTCATTGTTCAAAATTTTATTGATAACTGTCAGTACCAATTCTTTAAGAAAGATAGAATTTGAAAGCTTCTGGAACAATGGCATAAAACCATTAAAGTTCAAGTTGATGATTGATAAATATATGTACTAGTTAGTAATAACTAATTTTAATAAAAATACTGGGAAGTTTTGCACAGGCCTAATAGATTGTGTATAATTGGTAGCATTTTAAATCAATATGCATTTTCTAAGTTTGTGAAGCAAATGTTGCAGTGTAAATTTGATCATTTAGAGATAAGCAATTGTTATATCTAAAGTAATAAGAAACCTCTACCCCCACATTTGTGCATTAAATTTTGTCATTCAGTACCTGGCAGTGTTTGTTATGAGTAGAAAATTTACATGCATACAAAAACCTGACATAAAATATACAATCAAATTAAGTTTGTGGTTTGATCAGCATTTAAACTTCTTTAATGGTGAATATCTTTTTTCTTTATTATTATTCTTACAAGCATTTAAACTCTTAAACTCTGCCTATTTTGAAAACTTTAAGTTTTTAAAATTTCAGCTTCCTTTTAAATTTTTTTCCAACATTAATTAAATAGCCACATTTTTTTTAATAAAAAAGTTCAATATTTATTGTAGTTTTCCAAGAAAAATTTGACATTCTTCTGAATATTTCTGGAAGAAATAAAGAAAACCTTGAATATATTGAATATCAAACTAATAACTAAAATCAAATCTTCAGGTGCAATTTGTTTATTTGGGGGGAAAATGTCCTTTACTGATTTTTTTTTTTTTTTTTTTTTTTTTTTTAATCATCTTTATCTGTTTAGTCTTTAATCTTTTCTTTGTTTAATATAAAGTAGGCAGTTCAGGCTTTCCACATATTCCTTTTCTCTATTTGTAAATTTTGTAGTGTAATGGTTTTCAGTGCAAAATGTAATCTGCAAGCTGAGTTCAAATTCTGGCTTAGTCTGTTGCATTCACTTTGTGTTAATGTCCATGAGGAAACCATGAATCTTATCACTCACTACCAGCTATGGATAAAATCATGGAGTAATGAATTGTGGCTCCGATTGAGGAATCGGAGAGCCGAGTTTGAATTCCAGTCAAATCCATTACATTCACTTACGTGCCAATACCCTTGGGAAAGGTATGAATCCTCTTCTCCTCCCAGCTATGGGTAAATAGCAGGCAAGACCAGGTTCTATAGCCTTGGAAGGCAACTGGTCTACTGCAGAAAGAAATGGCAACCTACTGTGGGAAAAAAATCTGCCTTGTCAGTCATGCATCGAAGGATACATGATCGCCTATGCATGTATCACACATGGCACATAACTGGCTGAAACTTGGTTAGCAACTAGTCTAGAATGACAATTTTGAATTCAAACTATGCAGAAGTCCACAGGAAACCAATTCACTATCTTTCCCAAGAAGTAATTCCAGAAAAAATTTAGTTGTAAAGGTCTCTACATGTTAAGCTATGTAGCATTTGCTAATATGATTTTAATGTTCATTAGAAATAATGATAAAACTTCTATGAGAGAGAAATTTAACTTACATTATCCTCTTTCTCTTATTTTCATGTGCCTTTGTTAATCAGTGCACAAATAGGACAAGCTATAGTAAAATCTGGACATCTGCTTTTAACAATACCCATGCAAAATAACAACATTAATATAATCTATCAAAAATTTTGTTTTTGTATTATTGTCTTCATTTTGTTTTTTTGTTTTTTTAACACATTTTGGTCAGTATATTTTTTGGTTTTCATAAGATGTATGTTGCATCTAGTGGCTTTGGAAGTTGCTTAGTACTTTTTTCTTTCTTTCTTTTTTCTTCTCCCCAATTACAATGGGAGTCAAGGAAAAGGCTGATGATTCCTTGATAAGAATTGATTGCGTTCTTCCAGTCTCACATGTTCTCATTTAACACTACTAACACAAAACTGTAATACTCAGTCCTGCAACTGTTTTGGATTTTGGTTTTCTAATTTTGAACATAAAAAAAGTATTATGCAATTTCTAAAGTGTCAAATGAATGATAACCCTGAGGAAGACCACAAATGAAATGTGTTGAAAACAATGAAGATAAAGACAATGTTGTGAAAAAAAATATATGGAATAATGAAGATACTTAATTTCAAAACTTCAAATAAGAAATACAAAAACATTTAATCTATCAACAAAAACATTGTTAAAAACAACTGAAAACAGCAATAAAAAAAAATATCTATAAACTATTAGAAATACTTTATCTCAAACTTCAAAGATAGATGTGTTCACTTTGAAGTAATAGTTTTGAGAAAAGGTGAACAATCCATCTGTCCTAATAAGTCAAGTCAGGGATTATTTCCTACTGTTTGTGCCATGTAATAGTGCAACCTGTTAAATGTTACTTAAAGAGGAAATAGGTGCCACCAAATAATCTCACAAAAAAAAAAAAATGCCCTGCATTTTGCTCCAATCATATGCTAGTTCATGAGAATTTGATTGTGATGCTTTTTGAATGAGGAGATTTTTATTTAAAAAAAAAAAGAACTGGAATTAGAATGCTAAAACCCTGAGTGGAAAACCATTAATATTGAACATGATTCAATAGTTGTTTGTAAACCTGTTTTTCTATTATCATGAAAGTAACCAGTTTTCTCAATCTCTGTTCAAAATGTGCTGAAAGCATTAAAAAAAAAACAAAAAAAAAACTAGTGATGCTGATCTGTCATTTTGATAAAAGAGAAACAACTGTCTAAGCAACAGATATTGTTTTTATTCTTTACATTTCTATGACAAGTCTGGACTTATTTTCTTATGATTTTAAATAGCTCTCTAAAGATAAATAAAAAATCTCTCAGTAGTTTCTACTCCTGCTATCAAAGCTAATGGGATGGTTAAAATATATAGTGATATGTCCCGGAAAGTGATATATTTGATCGAAGTAGCTAAGTGGTTTTGGCTACTATAACCAAGTAGTATACAGTAGCAGTAATTGACTGGTACTTGTCGTAGTCGCAGGTAATAAGTGTAGACCAATAGGATAGCCAATGGCGTAGTCCAATGGGTGTCGTCATAGACTTAAACTCTGTTGTACCTACATGTTCGTCTGTATTTATGATGGACACCAGTGAGGGGGAACTCAGGTGTATGCATATTCCATTATATCATATAGATTGTTTGTCATTTCCATGTAGCAATTCTAAAAATGTTAGGTAACAAATAGGGCAAGATTTGCATGGAAATTTCTTCTTTTGGTTAAGAGTATCTGAAATTGATGGTCAATTCATTTACATTGAAGAAAAGAATTTCATTTTAAAATATTCTTGTTCATTTTTTTACACTGATGTTTCTAACTTATTTCTTTGTTTTCCCTCTTATTTTTTAATTTGGTTAGGTTCATTTGTGACATAAGGGATCACTGTTTATTATTTTATTGCAGTTAGTTCAGGCAAAGGAAATGCAGATCAATATTTTCAAAACCTAAACATCTACAGTATACTTGGTCACTCTAAAATAATGTTATGTGATGGAGTATATAAAATGGTTAGAATTATGGTGTTTGGTGACATTCTTGGCTTTCTCCATCCCTCACCATTCTTTGAATTTCATTGGTTGAATGTTGAATAATCTAGACATTGACCTGAAGAAATATATTGCCTCTATTCAATCCTCTAGTGTGAATATCTGCGAATATCTTGTTGAGCAATGCAAAAATGAGAAAAATAAAAGAATGTTCTTTATGTGTGCAGTGAATAAGAATTAAATTGAGCTAATAAATAAAATCTCCAAAAGAGTCCATCTTTATAGTGTCACCAAAGATTTCAGAAGAAATCCATCCTGCATCATTTAAAACCTAATTTTTTGAATTTTAATCATTATTATATTTTTTTAGTTGAATACAGTAAGACAAATATTTTTAATGTCTTTTTTCACTTCATAATGGGCAATTAACACATGTAATGGAGTGCTAGAAGTTTAGTCCTCACTGATTGCACAACTATTGTAGTTTTGTGTTAGTTTAGAAAATTTTGTTTTAAGTTAAATCAGTGGACCTTTGTAGCTGTTACACTGGTTACCTGGGAATTATTAAGTTTAACTGATTCTATTAAATCCTAGGTAACCATTGTAACTGCTTCAAAGGTTCACTGAATTAACTTAAAATGTTTTAAAGACTGATTATATTCATATGATGAATTCAAACATAATTATATAAAAACAAAATTTTCAATGGCTTGTCTATATATGATTTTAATGAAGTTTGCATTCAGTGTGCCATTTTTTTTGTTTTGTTTTGTTAACTCTTCAGTTTTTATTACACTGACTGTTTTCTTTTTCTTTTTCTTCTTTTGCAGTAATATGCCAAGTGGAAGTACAAGTCCACAAGCCAAATTACATTCTGAACTAAGTGCATCTCCCCTGATGGCCAAGGAAAAATCTGACAGTGAGAGTGAAGGGGAGGAGGAAGAGGAAGAAGAAGAGGAGGAGGAAGAGGAAGATGAAGATGACAAACGGAATTCCGATTCTTCTGACAGTGAATCAGATTCAGACATGGAAGAAGCTCCTGTACATAATTTTGAGGTGTGAATTGTAGCACAACCTATGAAACATTTAGTCTCTCACAGTTGGCAAGTGGAAATAACTCTTTAAACCATTGTAAGATGGCAACATTTAAACCAGTTGGCATCTGAAACCATCTGAATATGTTTGGAATACCAGAGGGGGGTGGCAACTTAGCAATTCTCAAAATTGTTATATTATTTAATTATTTATTTAAAAAATTTTTTTTTTCTCATTTTATTTATTTTGGTTGCATTTTTAGTTATTTGGTCTCACTGAGAAAGATTTAGATATTATCTGTATTAAATTCACATTTGTTTTGAAGAATTCTTTAAAAAAACATACCCATTTATTAATAAGAGAAATGTCAGCAGAATAAGCTTTCAAAAATTCTTTTTCTTTTTTATATTACTGGACCATTTTTAAAGATTCCCTTTCTACAATCTATTTGACCATTACATGCAAAATCTGTCATGTTTGAGTACACACATACCTTTCAAATAGTCTCTTTTATTACATTTAATTTCTTTTATTATTACTTGGAAAAGTTTGACCACTTGTAAATATCTGTTACCAGATTATGAAATGATATCTATTATATTTTTGTGTGAAAGAAATTTGATAGGGATGGGGGGCAGTGCAGTATTAGGATATTTTTTTTATTATTATTTGATTTTTTCTTTCTTTCTTTCTTTCTTTTAAATTTGGAAATTTTGTTTACATGTAATTTTTTTCTGTAATTCTCCTATACTTTTATTTCATAAAAGGAGAAATAAAAACAGTAAAGAAAAAAAAAATGAAAAAATATTGAGTTTGTGACTCTCTATTATAATATCTGGTGGTCTCTTCTAATCTATAATTCATAGTATTAATTCCAATGTAATACGGAGGCAAAATAGCTGCCCAGAAAATTCTCCCATTTTTTCAGTTTTTTGGAATCTGTGCATAGAAAATAAATTTTAACCCAGCTTTAATGAATATTTAATTTATTTAAAAAAAAAAAAAAAAACTAAAGGATTTAAATATTTCTGCTGAAAGATTTCTATTCCATCCAGTCATGTAGAATTCAAAAAGCTGCTGACAAAAAAAAAAGTTGTGTTTTAAGTGTTCTGCAGCCATCTGGACTTAAAAATGCAGTTTGTTGAAAGAGAAATAGCTTTATGGTGATGTCTCTGAGATTTCTATGGTGTAGCTTCTCAAATATTGGTATCAGATGAGCATAATATTTTGTTGTTGCAAATGTGACTGACTCTCTCTCACTCTCTCTCTTCCAACTTAATTATCTGAATAGATTGAAAAAGAATTTGTTATTGCATGTGACAGTTGGATCTATATTTAGCTGCTCTGTTCGTGTGGAAATGCTGATTAGAGACTTTGTGATTAATTTTTCAGTTCAATCTAAAGATATATTAAAAAAAATACTTTTCCTTATCTGATACTAGATGGACAAAGCCACAGCATAATTACTATAAAGTAATTTAACGGAGGATAATTTAACAAGAAGGATAATTAAAAGATGCTTTTAATTTACATTTAAACTTATTTTGATTGCTAAAAGCCAGTATAAAGCATTGAAGTCATTTCTTTGAAATCAACTTTGGATGCTAGATATTTACTATTCCTATTGCACCCAATCCTCAAATTGAAACTGCACTTTCATTTGAAAATTTACTCTAAGCTTCACTTGGCAAGTCTCTGAATTTTCATTTGGTGGTGATTTTTGAGCTTCATTAAGCTCTTTATGCAAATTATTATATACAAACAGATGTAGGTGCATTCAAAATAAACAATCTTTCTATGATATCAAGTGACTCTTCATCTTCAAGTCTCTTCTCATAATTTTATAGGGATTCTTTTTTGATACTTTTATTCATTAATTCCTATACAATTAATGTTTGTAGATTTGGAATTAATATGCTAAATGATATCCAACCTTTTAATTTATTTAGTTTTAAAAAGTTGTAAATATTGTTAAGTCTGTGAACATTCATCATCTTCCTATTATTAGCAAGGCTAATAAATGTGTTTCTAAACACATCGAGCTCATTTTAAAAATCCAAACTGTAAAATACTACATATTTTATATTTAGTGTATTTTTAAGTATACTTGCCATTTGTTCACTGCTTAGCTCAAATATGCAGTCTAATTGGTGGTTGTTTCATTTTGCAATAATCATGACTGTTCTATTTGGATGATGATGATTATTATTATTATTATTCACTGAAAATGTCCATATTAACCTTGGTATTAATGAGGAATAACTAAAAATGTCCCCCCCCCCCAAAAAAATCAGGAATATTTAGCCCTCCCACACAGACACACGCATAAAAACACAATTCTTGTTTAAACTTGTTATCTATATAAATGTTTAACTTCAAATATAAATTAATAGTTTTTGACTGAATATAAGGTATACTTACAGGTACTTACATCTAATTATTTTTAAAAATATATCTATATTCATTTAAATTTGTTAGTTTTTCCTTTTCTCCAGTCAGGAATGTTTGGGGTGGAAGAATGTTCAGCTCATTGTTTACATAGTGTTTTTTTCTAGTGTACACATCTATCAATAAGGCTAATATAAACATTTGACTATTTTGGCAAATGATAGCCTGAAAATGTCTTTCAGATTTTTATATATCTATGGGGTGGGAGTGGTGGGGATATGGATAGATGTTGTTTTTCATTCATCTTTTCCTTACTGTCTTCATTCACATAAGATCTTGTTTCTATCTTTTTTTTTTTTTTTTTTTTTTTTTTTTTTTTTTTTTATAGAATTTGTTCACATATCCACATGAAATGGGCATTTTCACATTGCATGTACATCTGCACACAACACATCTCAATTTTGTGCTATGCACACACAAACATATCCACCCTTATAATTCCTCTTCACCAAAAGAGCATGGACATGTCAATTCATTTATCATTTGATATTAAATCATTAATTGCATGTACTCGCTTATTCACTTGATGCTTGCTACACTGTTCTCTTTCTTGTTCCTATGGGAATTCTTTACAGGCTTTCATACTCAATTGTTACCATACGTTTTTTTTAATTTTTTTTTTTTTTATTAGGGTCAGTTGAAAAAAAAAAAAAAAAAAAAAGATCTAAACTAAATTCATTGAAATATTTGATAATTTTTGGCATCTATTATCATTAACATTATCATCATTTGCTAGGCTATATTCTTTAGAAACCAGATTCCAGGACATATTTTTATGCTACAGGGAAATGACTTGAAGTGCCCAATGACAAATATTTCTAAACAACATAATGTCCATTTTCAGGTATTTTAAGATTCAAAGAAATATATTAATTCTGATGGCAAAAGGTTTGTGATTGAGGATCTGGGATTGGTTTATATTTTAGAATTTTTCATTGATATTTTATTTTTTTTTCTATAGAACTTAGTTACTGCTTAAAATATGATTTTCATAAATTTTTGCTCTAAATGTTTATATTTCATGAAAATTCATTAACATAATATTATTAACCTTCAGTTATATTTACTTGACTGTTAATGTTATTCTGAAATGACTGTATAAAGATAACATGCAGTTTATGTCGTCTTGCAAAATACATGTGTGATTAATTGTTATTTAACCTCTATATTTTCTGGTTTCTTGCTATTTTTTTCTTAATAAGAGAAAAAAAACGAAATAATTTTTGCTCCCTATTCCTTTATATATGATCTAGTTTTTGGTGCTATATCTGGTGCTCATGAAACTGATACAATATATTTGTTTTCATCTTATAAATACTAGTTTTGGTTGTGTGACAGTGTATGTAAGTACTTTTGGCTGTTTCAGTACAAGCTTGATGTGTGAAGAGAGCAATGACCCTTCCCTATCAATTGTTTACTGTTAATTAAATCATTAATTTAAAAAGCAACAAAACTAAAGCCCAAACCATTATTACCTGGCTAGAAGCTGGCTAGCTTAGTCATGAAAGGTTTGAAATGCTACAATCCCAATGAATTGCTGCATTTGGTTTTGATATTTTTCTGTCTCTTTTTCTGTTGTTTTGAAACTAATTTTATTGATAGCTTGCACCAAGCAATAAGTTCACAACAGTGTTTTAAAATCAGTTTGTCTACACTTGCTGTAACTCTCAAACTTACAGCTTTGCTATTAGCCTTTCTGATCTGCTAATATTTTTTTAATAATTAAAAATTTAATTTCTAAAGGCATCATTAGAATCATCAAACATTTTTGACAAAAGAAAGAAAAATAGAATTCATTGGTTTCCTGCTTATATCTTTAATTTTTAGTCTTCAAATTATTAAATACAAAAAAAATTGCTCTAAGAATTATCTTAAAATAAAAATAAAAATTAGACATTAGCTTAAATAATTCCAAGTGGCTATTTGTATATAACAAAATTCTTATGCTTACAAATTGCAAATTTTGCCTGGTTTCATGGATCTTCATAATTTTTTAAAAAAATTCTTTTTTTTTTTTTCTTTTTTTTCTTTTATCTTTTTTTAATTTTTGTTAGAATAAATGGCAATTTCTCAGAAGTATTTCTGTACACTTTTAGAGACATGAATTAAAAATCCAATCACTCTTTTTCTCTTTCTTTCATTTTCTTGTTTTCCACTCTTTTGCTGAATGTATTTCTTTTTCACTACCTCCTCTTCTTTCTGGATGAAGTTGCTACCATCTGTTGCAAATCTGCATCAATTCCTCCCAAACCAATTGTTACAATTATAAATAAAGAAAAGGAGCTTTTCGTTTCTTTTTCTCTGTACAACAACAGGAAATTTTGTGATGAATGAAGGGCACAATTTATTTTGCCATCTCAGATGTGCAGCAGGTACTTATGTTTCTGAGTTTGTCAACTGTTCATCTTCATCCTCTTCTTTGTTAGCCCAAAACTTTGGCAAAGAAGCCAATATCAGACAGTTTTTTATAAAGTGTGAAATGCAATGCAAACTCACACAGCTGCTTGCAGACTACAAAACCAGTTTCATTTTTTTTATTCTCGTGGAATTTCTTTGTACTTTTTTTTTGTGTG